CTATATAAGTAGCTTAAAGTGGAGACGTGTGGATTTTTTTTCTTAAACTTGAATAATTTATGCAAATTATATGCTTAGGACAACATGTGGTACAGTTAAAAAAAGCAAAAATCACTGTAGCAATAAGACAGCATGTAATTTTAGTAACTATTACACTGCTTTATATTTTATACTTAGATGTTTCATGTCTTTATGAGCATATTACTTTTTCATGTGTCTAAACCTACCTGTACAAATTTGTACAAAGTCTAAAATTACAGCTATAATAACACGTCTAGAACAGTGTTAGCCTACTTTTCTCAAGCCCACTTCTTGGCCCCTTGAAATAGGGGAACATGGGTCTTAATACAGCTATTATTTTTTAAAATTGCCTTTTACACACGTTTCTATTTTCACAGGGCATCACTTCCCTGTTAGGAAGGCATCCCCTTCAGAAGCTGTCTTGTGTCCCAAATTTTTGCTGATGGCAGAAGTCTTTGTGATATGCAGGGACTGTATGTATTCCAGCTTTATCACATGGACAATTGGATTTTATTGAGAAAATGCATTTCCCTAGCAATTTTCACTTTTAATAGACATGAAATGGTAGTGATAATTCAGTTTTTAGCTGATTGGCGCCATTAGCCAATATTATGATATATTTCTCCTTCGTAGAATAGGAACAATTGCAATGTCTTTTACAAAATTCCTCTTGGTGTTGGCCCTTCATGCATAAATTTGGGGTAAAAAGGGCAATCAAGGGAAAGGAGCACATCTTTTCCAAGTTTTCCTTTTTGATTTCTGCCACTGCAGTATCCAAGATCAATGAGCCACATCAGATTTTAAGAGACAGCATTTGTCTCCTTGGGTGTAGGAGCTGAAGCTGTTGAACAGTTGGCAACAGTTGACTGTGTATCTGCAATAGAGCCTTTGGATCTCAGCCTATATCTGCTATTGAGTGGATTTAAATGATCAGATTGTAATTGTAAAACATTTTGAAGAGGTACTGCCTTGTAAGCATTTGGAATCAGTGGCAAAGTCTGACCCAGAAATTTATTTTTAGTTGGTGTCTTTCGTGAGAAAGACAGAAAATCTATAAACTAGTGTTTCTCAACTTTAGCAACTTCAACAAAGTTGAAGTCCACACAGCTTAAAGTTGCTGAAGTTGAGAAACACTGGTATATATACACACGTGTATGTATGTAAATGCACTCTCAGACACATATACAGAAGACTATGAAATGTGAGCCTTAATTTTTTTTTTTAACAAAAGCCAAAACTTGTTAAGTTTAGTGCCAAAATTATTTTATTATCTCCTTGGGAAGGGAACAAGATGAATAATAATTAAATGAAGTATTTACAAGGAATGTAATGAGTGATCTAGGAAAAACAAAATATTGCCTCATCTTTAAGGACACTTTTGATGAATAGATAAAAATTTATGTAATAAAGTATATCTGCTCGTGTGCATATGTGCACACTTACACACGTCCCGTTAAAATATACTTCCTATGGAGCTTTATATGAATGGAAACATTTGACAGATTTTTTTTTTAAAAAGTTGGGTTGGAGGGAGAAGTTTGGTTTGCACATGTCTAGAAAGAAAGTGAGTGTGTGTGCGTGTGTGTCTTTCTGCCTCTGTTAGCACGTCTCTGAATTTGTGCAATTTGGTGGCCTGGTAACCGCAAGTCTTATTTTTAACATTTTTCTTATTTTGTTTTTCTTTTCAATACAAAAATCCCATAAAGCTTCAGTGCTTGCTATTTAGTTCTGTGTTTTCTTCTGTCTCTAATTTAATTGCCTTAACTTTGCAGTTAGTTGAACTATTTCCATCTAATCTTCACCTTTTCCTTCAATTTCAATTTCCTATTTATTTAATTGAAGTTTTGTTTCAGGTAAATTACCATGACTGGGGAGCAAACTCGTTTTCACTGGTCCAGGAACTTCTGGTTTTTAACAGCCAAGTTATTTTTCGTATTTTTCTAAGAATTCGTCCCCATCCTAAAATGCACGATACACCATAGCACTATCTAGTAAAACTGAAGTGGATTTTTAGGGTTACATGCATCATTGTTAACTATCAGGGTGTGGCTTTATCACCAATAACAATGCTATCATGAAAATATTTCTTCCCAGCTACATTTCTGCAACGATTCCAACAAACGTAGTAGGATCCCCTGGTTTTATTTTATTTTTTTTTCAGCTCTTTGGATGAATTTAGGCTGCTGCTGTTTCATGTTTTGCAAGTGTGTAAATCGAGTGAATTTAAAACATAACATGCCATGCTAGTCCCCTACAACATTGACTGACTATTTGACATATTTTGTACAAAAAATAATAATAAATTGTAGAGATATTTTCAAAACGGATATTTGTAACCAGTGGATGTTAAAATACTGCACACGATGAAAGGTGGAATGTACTATTTCTTGAGTACCTCTCATACTAAGATAAATATCCTGGGAATGAAAGAAAAGTTAATGCAAAACTTTGTAGAAGGCACCCAGATCATAATGAATAAGGAAGAATCATACAGGTAGTCCTTGACTTACAAAAGTTTGTTTAATGATCATTCAAAGTTACAGCGGCACTGAAAAAGTGATTTAGACCATTTTTTATACTGAACGACAGTTGCAGCATCCCTGTGGTCATGTGACCAAAATTCACACTCCTGGCAACCGACTCATATTTATTATGATTGTAGTGTCCTGGGATCATGTGATCACTTTTGTGACCTGACAAGCAGAGTCAACGAGGAAGGCAGATTCACTTTACAACTGGGTTACTAACATAACTGCAGTGAGCCATTTAACAACGGAGGAAAGAAAAGTCATAAAATGAGGCAAAACTCATTTAATGTTTCACTTAGCAACAAAATGTAGTTGTAAGCCGAGGACTATTTGTACTCGGTAACAAGTCTTTTTAATTCTCCCTCTCTTCTCCAACTTTTTTTGCTATTCTGTCTCAGTAGAATAAATTCACGTGTATTTTGGAGTGGCTTAAGACCAGATTCTGGAGAAATGGCTCCTACCTCAAAGATTCCTTAAAACTGACTGTTCTTTCTGCAGCAGTTCAAAAGATGCTCAATTATTCTGCCTATTTCGTAGTATTGTACCCAATTAGAATATGGAACAACCTATTGCAACATAATCCTTCATGAAGTCTTAAAATCATTTAATACCCATGCTGTGCAAAGTTTATTGGTGTTATAATGCAGTCGAATAAATAAAATTGCATTATCACACTGCATTCAAATTAAACATGCAGTCATGGTATGACAATAAATTCCCCTGACCTTTTTCAATCGATCAAAACATTTTCTTGAGTTCAGTAAAGATGGGAATAGTTCCTTGGACCAGCATGGATTAGATCTCGTTCTGTTTACTGTAAAAATGCACAGAGTGAATGAAGAAAGAAATAGACTGAATAGAATCTTGATTATTATTTCAAAGATAATCACCATGGAGTTACATACCATCAAATCAATTGTACGTACCTGCATTAACTCGACTTACATGATTTCAAAACATTTTCCTTGCTGATCTTAAGTAGGTAGTATATGATCCAGGTTTTATAGCAAGAACAGTGATATAATGCAGTTCCTGAAAATTTTGGGTTGTCTGGTGTTTCAGACAACTCATATTGGAATCAAAGAATGAAAATTGGATTTCCGTTGTGTATTAGTAACATATCCTTTGTTCCTTGTCTACAGAGGTAGTTCCAAATAATTTTTTAAAAAA